AGGGAGACATGCTGTTATAACAGCCCAGTGCGTGTTCACTGCTCAACATCAATGGCAGAGAGCATCAACACGTGTAGTTAGATGCTCCCTGGCAGGGGTGAAGCCAGTGCCTTAAACCAATTTTTCTGAGATCTTGCTCATCTCTGCTTTTATCATAAAGAAAAGTCAGGCCTCAGCAGCTCAGGCTATTCTAATCTGGAAAGACTGGAGACACGACAGGTCTTTCTTTTCAGGAATTCCAGCAAGCCCTTTCTCGGCATATGATTTACAATACACCCCCCCCCCCAAGGAAAGGGATTATCATGCTTACAGCCAAGGAGTATGGCCAGCTTTATCTGGGGTTTGGAAGAAGTGTTTGTCCAGGAGAAAGTCTGGGTGCTGATATTGGAATAAGAGAAGACAGATGCTTGCCAGAAGCCTTGTAGTCACCTCTCCACCCAAATAGTGGGAAACATCTTTCTGTGGGTCTCACATGAGTAAAGGCAAAACTGGCCTGGGAAAGCACTAGAGCCTGGGTGAACTGGCTTGGTCTTACTGCACAAACTAGATTAATGTTCTGCTGCTGAAGGTGTGCTACTTCATCTCAACGCAATTCACAAATCTTTAGGTGAGCTCTGCTATGATTTGAAGTTTTCCTCAACCCCAGAACCCCAGAATTCGTGGGCAAACAAAACAAAACAAAACAAAACAAAACAATACTTCCCCAACTTCATGTGTTAATGACAGGTAAAGGTAGAACCTTTGGAAGGTGACTAAGTCATATGAGCACTGAATGAATGAATAGCTATCACGGGAGCAGCTTGGTTATCACAAGATAAGCAGTGTCTTTTATCACTTGTAAAAGACAGTTAGGCAATTTCTCACGAATCCCTCACCAAATGATCCTTGTCCACCCTAGCCTTGGGATTGGGCAGAGACTCTTCACCAGTAAAAAAGGCTTTCGGTAGAGGGGCCGTTCCTTGAACTTCCCTGCCTCTGAGACTTTGGGAGGGAAATCTTTCCTTACAAATTACCCAGACAGCTGTTCAGTTATAGCAACAGAAAACAGACCATCCACATGAATGAATGAATGAATGAATGAATGAATGAATGAATAAATGTAAATTTGTTCACAACTCACACAAGCCATCCATGCCTCAAGCCTGGTTTTCCCTTGCTTCTCATACGGCAGATGAGTAGAGACATTTGGTAAGATCCTCACTAATTTCTTGACCATTGTCTTCCTGTTTGCTCTAGAAGATGGTTTCTGGAAATAAAGTCTTCAAGCTAGCCTTTAAAGGCAGAAATGACAGAGGCAGAAATAGTGAGTGACAGTAACCAGAAAAAAAAAATGTGTCTTGATAGCTGTATGCTTAGGGGTAAGGTGTAAACTAGAGGGAGAGAAAACAGGCTCCAAGACAATGCAGGAGGCTGACAGAGCAGAACTTCTGCTTGGCGGGAGCTCCCTGAAGTTAATAGGTAATAGAAACCCTTCCTTAAAGCAGCAAGCGAACAATCAAGAAAAAAAAACCACAACAAAACCCCCACAAACCATACCAAAATAACCAACCGACCAGCAAGCAATAACGAATATTTCGCTTACGGATAGTTATCTAACAGATACTGATATTGACAGGTATTCATTTGCTGCTCTTGGGGTCACTGTGCTTATTGCTGTTACTCAAAACACGATGTCCACACTCCGATTCCTTCACAGCTTGTTTTGAAATCTAAGACCACCTCCATGCACCCTCCATTCCGGTAAAAAACTGAACATCATTTTTGCTGTCTGTAATAAGGATGATCGCTCCCTTGGCATCCTCCTCTTCCCTAACTTGGTCAAAGAAAAAGCTCACTACAAAGGCAACAGCAGCCATGCCTATGTTCTTAGACATCCTACCACAGTGGGGACCCTTGTAAATACCATACAAGGTATTAATTGTTTTATAAAAGTTATTTATGCTTTGTATTCTCCGTTCATTTCCTGCAGTCTCTGGCTCTCATGAACATCTTTCCCAGGCCAATCACATAGTTCATATGTATGTAATTATATGTGTGTGCGCACACTCAAGGATATATGTGTGTGTGTGTGCTCAAGGAAGTGCTTTGAGGATGTATGTATGTATGTATGTATGTGTGTGTGTGTGTGTGTGTGTTCAAGCTATGCCTAGTCATACAGTTCTCCTGGCTGCCTTGGATCTAGACGTAGAACTCTCAGCACCATGTCTGTGTGCACGCTGCCATGCTCCCCAACATGACGATAATGAAGTAAACCTCTGAAACTGTAAGCCAGCCCTAATTAAATAAGTTCCTTTGTAAGAGTTGCGGTGGTCATGGGGTCTCTTCACAGCAATGAAATCCTAACTAAGAAAGGGAAATAAAAAAAAATGTCTCCAGTGATGCTAGCTGTATCATTTATCATGTGTTTATTTCTACACACACACACACACACACACACACACACACACACACGCACACACACACACCTTTAATATTTTTCCCCCTTGGAAGTCAACTTGGGCCAGCTTTGTCCAAACATCAAGGAATGGAGCTTTTTTTCCTAGCTATGCTCTCTCCTTGCTATGATCCACCTCACTTCTGTGGATGGAATGCAGCTAGCCTGGGAGTCCTGTGATGTACTCTGGCACTGTCTCTGAAAAAAACTTGTTGATAGAGCTTCCATGAGTTATTTTTATTTGAATGTGGGTGTCTGACACCTCTTGAGACCGTACAGGAGCCCCTCCCCCGAAAGAGCACGGCCGTCTCTGCTGCCGCTTCTGCAGTCACAGGATCCACATGGATATTGAGCATCAGAAATGTGGTTCTGAATTACCACAGAGTAGGTCAATGTGTACTTATTCAGCGTGTGTTTCTGGATGCTAGGAAGTCTGGGGGCTTGGGGCCACATCATTGATACTCACAGAGGGATACATGGACATGCAAGGTCACCTCATGATGAGCTACAGGCGAACTTGGAGCCCAGTGCTTTCCAGAAGAGACAGCAGACAGTCTCATGACCGTCTGTACAACGACATGCTTTCAGAACGACTTCTAAATGGCCTCTGTTTTTCTTGCCTTCCTTCTACAAACCAGACTGAAATACAGAGGGAAGTTTCGAAATACATTAAACCTTAAGTCAGTATTAAGCTTCAAAGTGGTTTGTCAATATCCAATTTTCAGACATAATAGGACATGGAAAGTTGGCAGGGCATGCTGCTCATCCTGGGAAAAGGCCAGTGCTGTCCGGCCTCAGAGTCTAACCAGATCTTCCCTGTTGGTAGAATCAGCTGCAACTGGGAGTTTATGTGCTTGAGACTGTACCTGCCAGGGAGGTCATAGCCAGCAGGTCACACATGATCCAGTTCTACCCGAGCAAACTGAGAACCGGTGGGACCCCTGTGGAGGCTGGAAGACAACCCTCCAACTTCTACTTCCTTGGTCAAAAGGGGTCTACGTAGGAAGAGAAAACCTGAGCGTCAAGGCTGAGCAGCAGGATTCCTAGCGACGGTCCCAGCACTCATATCTAGGCTCACATTGGTGCACTGGCATGGTGCAGGCCAAACAGCCATAGGCCCAACATACAAATAAAAATAAATGGATAAAATGGAAAACAAAATTCCCACAAAGCAAGCCCCAAAGAAAGCAATCAACTGCCCAACATCTCCTGCAGATTCTACTGGCCACCTCCCCAGGAGCCAGCAAGGGACAGATTTTAACCTTCTGTGACCTCTTCTGGGGGCATAGGAAGGGAATCTAGGGTCAAGGGAAAAAGAGAAAGAGGAACCCATCGATACGGAAGGACTCTTAACCGTCAAAGAATGAAAACACATTCACGCTTACTGAATGGTGCATGCACACACAAACTATTAAACTTTAGCAACAACTGGATATATGGATTGGAACTCTTAATCCCTTTAAATAAGTTCAAAGAAAAACCCAAAAGATGGCTTGTCCAGGGCCCTCAGTGGACAGGGAGGTAGAAGGCGAAGAGGTCCTGAGGAGTTCCTTTCGGCTGGACAAATGGGGGCGTGGCCTGCCGCGGCTGCCAGGAACTCCTGAAAACAAAACTTGACAAGTCTATGGAACTAGAGGGGATAAGATGGGTGGCCTGGAGAAGGGTAGGGACGCAGAAGCTGAGACAAGAGAAAAGCAGGGCGTGGCGATCTGGGGGGAAGGGGTGCCAAGGCCGAGAAGGGCTAAGCTGGGGTGGAGGGGCTGGGAACCCCTAATCCGGTTAAGGGGCTAGATAGGCAATCGCACAGGACCTGTCAATCTGACAGCGGCCCAGAGACCTAGGGGTAGGGAGGAAAGAAGAGAAGGACTGTGGGGAAGGGGCGTCGCCTCTGTCGCCCCCGCCCTCTCCAGTGTATTGGGCGGTGCCTCGTCACCTTTTTTTTTTTTCGGTTCCACCCCCTTCGGCCTCTCTAGCCCGCTCCCCTGCGCCTCTACTCTGCACCCCGGGCGCGGATCCCTGGGTTGGTCTGGCCTGGGCCGTTGACGTCACCACCAAGTTTGCTGTCCTTCGGGTCCCACGTGTGGCGGCAGCGGCCAAGGAGGCTGCGGGGAGCGCCTGGGAACACAGTGGCAGCGGCCGCTGACAGGTCCCGCGCGGAGGGGGCCACTCCAGGCGGCTCCCAGCTGGGGCCCCAGAGGAGGGGGTAGACTTCCGGAGAGCCCAAGCCACCAGATTGCGCGAGTCTCACTCGGACCGAGGCAATAAGGGGGACCTTGCTCTGTGCCGAGGACGAGCTGAGCCAGGACTCAGGGCGCGCTCCTTGGGCGGGCCAGGAGAGCGGAGCAGCCAGCAGCTGGGAAAACGGTCCCTCTCCTTGTCCAGAGCGCACACACAGCTCTTTGGCACGGGAGCCCTACGACCCCTCCCCGGGGACCGAGCCAAGGATGCAAGGTTGCTGAGCCGAGCTCTGCACCGAGTGGCCGCTCAGGACCCTGCCGAGCCGAGCGCCTTCGCCACCGCCGCCGCAGAGACTCCCTTGTCCGGCGACTCTCGGGGGCCCAAGGGACCGAGCTCTGCCCAGCTAGGCTCAGGACCCGAGACCATGGTTTCTTAAGCACGGCCCTGCACCCCTTCCCTCCCCGCCATCCGGAGCCCGGGACCCCGCGAAGAGCTCAGGGCGCTCGGTCCTAGCTCCAGCTCCGGCAAGCAGGGGCGCTCGGGCGATGCGACCGCAGGGCTGCGCGCGGGTGGGCAGCGGGGATGGCAGCGCTCCCGGAGCAGACCCGGCCTAGCATGGCCCGCGCGCCATCCCACTTCGCCTCCGGCTAGGATGGCCCCCTCGGGCCCCGCCGGCGCCCAGCCCAGCCCGGCCGAGCCACTGTCGCGCAGCATCTTCAGGAAGTTCTTGCTGATGCTCTGCTCGCTCCTCACTTCCCTCTACGTCTTCTACTGCCTGGCCGAGCGCTGCCAGCCCGGGTCAGGCCCCGTCGCGGGGGTCCCGGGGCGCGGGGTCCCTGCAGGACCCGGGGAACTGGCGACCTGGCCCGCGGGGGCGCAGAGGAAGCGCCTCCTGCAGCTGCGGCAGCGGCGGAGGCGCGGGCGCCCAGGGCCGGGCGACGGCGGCGACCAGGACGAGCAGAGCCCCGGGCTGGCCGCCGCTCCGGGCGGCTCCGGGGCGGGAAGCAGCGTGGCCGAGGCCCAGCCGGGGACCCTGACCCTGCTCCTGGACGAGGGCAGCAAGCAGCTGCCGCAGGCCATCATCATCGGCGTGAAGAAGGGCGGCACGCGGGCGCTGCTGGAGTTCCTGCGCGTGCACCCCGACGTGCGCGCCGTGGGCGCCGAGCCCCACTTCTTCGACCGCAGCTACCACAAGGGCCTCGCCTGGTACCGGTGAGCGCGGGGACCCCCAGGGGGTGCTTCTGAACTCGGGCTGCACAGAGGGGGAGACTTAGGAAGGATAGCAAAGGGGGAACAGTATCTGCCTCAGGGGCTTTCATTCCTCCCTTCTCCCTTGGGCAGGGGCAGATTGAGAGAGGAGGAGCGGGTGAGTTGTTTTTAATGCTCAGGACACCCCCCCCCCCAAAAAAAAAAAAAAAAAACCCAGCCTGCTCCTTAAAATCTTTCTTGCATTTAGATAAAGGAAAATAAAAGGAAAGATGAAGGAACATTTTCTTTTCTTTTTTTTTTTTTTAAGTTAGAAACCTGTTCGTCGTTACTGGGTTATCTCACCAGAGGAAGCCTGTTTGTATTCCTTTATCTTTGGGGTAATAACCGCGTGGTTAACAGCGTCTTTGCTCCGGCGTTTATTTGCCTTGACCCCTTGCCAGATAGTTGTCCAAGGTGGTAAATCATATAGAGACTTAGTAAAAGTGTCAAGTGCCTGAGAGTCCACGTAGTTTGGATAATCTATGTCTCAGCAAGTGCCAGCAACCACTTGCTGGGTTTTGAAGAACACTTCCTTGGTAATACCATTTGCCCTACAGAAATTCCTCTAAAGATCTCTGAACAGTTATCTTTACAAATAAGATAACTAATTTTAAAAGGGGGGAAAAGAATCGTGGAAAAATGCGGCGAATAAAGTTTAGAAAGTAAATCTCATTTACGGGGTTAGCTTATTTGCAGTGTCAATTCACATCACCTAGACTATCAGAGTTAACCAAACTAATAAGTGTTATCGTGGCCTGTATTTGGTTTGTGGTAAAAATACTGATTTTCCTCCTCTCTACTCTACAGTTCAAGGGGAAAAGATCATATGGTTAGAATTTTCCCATTTTATGAAGTTGAGCCTGTTCATAAAATATTCATTCTCATTATAACTGAAACAATATTAGAAAAGTTATGTCACAGTTGAGAAACACCGAAGGAACCCTACATAAATTAGAAACGGACATGGTGTGATGAGTTTATTCACTTTTAGGGTCAAAAGCATGTTCAGATTGATTCCAGGAGCTGAATTTATAGTTTAGTTCTAAAAAAAATCAAATTCAAACATTAAACACTTCTAAAAACAGTAACTTTCCATTCATTGGAAAAGAAAAACAATCAGCCTTCCCCCGACACAGAATATATATATCATTTAAAATCATCAGCCACTTAAATATATCCCTCCCCCCCGTGTTTCTGTCATTTATGTTGAATCCTCTGGGAAGCCCTTACCAAATGACCTGTTGAATGTGGACAACAGGTCCTTCTTCTAACACAAAGACGGTTCTGTGCTATTCCTCAAGGACACAAGAAAGAAGTGATTAAAGACCCCTAAAACCCTTATCTAGAGCCGCTGGCATTGAATTTGGCCTCATACAGTGCCAGGAGGGACACATTTCAAGCCATCAGTCTGAAAACTCTAGGCCAGCTCTGGGCTCGGAGGTACTATTAAACACAGTGAAATGTTTGGTGCTAGCCCCCTCAGTTTTCGTTTTGCTCTGCAAACTTTATTTCCACAAGGTAGGATTGTTTCTTCCCATTCCAGCAATGTATATTCGAGGGCGCAGTATATCATGGAACTGGATCTGATTTTCTGTAGAACTTTCTGAAATCATGCAAAAGCAGTAAGGTTTCTAGGTAACTAGAAATACAACTATTTAAGGAAGAAGAAGAAAAAAGGCAAGGCTTAAAAAAAAAAGAAAAAGAAAAAAGAGAAGAAAAAAAAAGTCATAAACTTTGAGGCCGCCCTGTCCTTTGCAGTGAAGGAAATCTCCTTGGGTTGTTTACCCAGTAGAGGAGTTCTATAAAGCAATTTATGGCGGTTACAAAAATAACTGCTCAGTAGACTTCATGGTTTGCTGAATTTAATTTTCCAAGTGTCGGAACAATGTCTTTGTTTTAACATTCACAGTGAGGTTTTTTTTTTTTTTTAATTTTATTGAATGCATAAATTTAAGCTCACCGAATTGTACGGAAAAACTCTTGTTTAAAAGAACCCTACCTGTGGAGCCTGGATTATGAGATTATTTAATGAAAATTTCCCCACAGTTCTTTTTCATCTTGACTTGGAGTTTGACGTTTGTGAGAAAGGCTGAAGATTTAGCTCACTGCATAAGAACACACCACACAGATTGCCTTTAAGCTACTGTGCATTTTGGCTACTTATATTTACCTAATATTCAGCATAAGAATCTGGCTAGACTTTTCTAAATTGCCCCAAATCTGCAATATGCAATGTTAGAATTTAGACCACACATTCAAGACCACACACACACACACACACACACACACACACACACACACACACACACACA